CATGAAGTAGAGCTAGTATGCTACTTCTTCAGGCACTTCCTTCTGGTAATTTAAGCTTCTTTCTGATTTTTTTTTTTGCCACTTTTCAGCTGATTTTACTTATTTCAGCTTTTTTCAGATAATTCCCATTATTTTGTGCTAATTTCTGCTGCTTTCAGCATAATTAGGCAAACATGTTCTTTCTGCTTTATTCTGCTCATTTAAGCTTGTACTAACTTTTCAGCTACCTTTTTTTTTTTAGCATTAGCTAATTTTAGCTGTTTTCAGATAAATTCCAATTTTTCATGGTTTTCTGCTACTTTCAGCGTAATTAACTTCTTTATGCTAATTTCAACGTGTTATGCGCCTTTCAGTTTTTTTCTGCTAGTTTTAACTTTTTCTGCTCTTTCAGCTAGTTTGGATGCTGCTTTTAGCTTTTTCAGGTAATTCCACTTTTTTTAAGCTAATTTCAGCTCCTTCTGCCTCCTTCTGGTAGTTAAAGCTTCTTTCTGCCTTTTCAGCTACTTTTCAGCTTTTATTTTGTGTGAGCAAATTTCAACCTTTTGTTGCTAATTTCCTCATTTTTGTTGTCATTTCTTTCGTTTAAACCAAATTGAGCAAATATGTGTCCTCCTGCTTTCTTCTGCTGAATTAATACTGCATTGTTCTTCCATTTCAGCTACATTTCATAATGTATTTTAGCTAATTTCAGCTGTTTTTCAGCAAGTTCTTCTGCAATAAGCATTCATACTGAATTTTCACAGGAAATGTGATTTCTCTAGAATATTAAAAAGATTGAAGAGAGATGTGAACACGCTTCTTTTTAAGTTTTATATTATGTGAAATCTACAGGGACGTTTTTGAAAATCACAACGTTTACAAAAGCTTAAACAGATAACAGAATGCATGCTCAATAAACGGATAACACTCAAAAGTTTTTTTTTGTTTTTTGCATTTCTCAAAGTTTCCCATGTTTCTTTTAAAAATTTAATTGGGAGTTTGTAGCGTGTTGTTTGCTGAAAGGATGAATAGTCAAACTTTAATAAAGCAAACAAAATAAATCTCATACAGACGCAACGAGAACCAAACAAGAGGTTGAAGATGGTTTACTCATCAAAACTGAAGTGACTGACCTCTGATTTTTTTCTCCCCATTTGCTTTAAAACAACAACATATTAGTAAAGTGAAAATTCTTCTTTACATAGATTCATATAGTTTGTCCTGACCTCTCTGACCCCTGCAGGCACGTCAGCCTGTCCCCATGGCCGGTTCTACTGCACCAACCTGGGTTTCCGCCCGCACTACATCCCATCGTCGCGGGTCAACGATGGCATCTGTGGTAAGGCTGCGTTTTCCAGTTACCTGCTACGAAAAGACTTTTAGGCGTTGCACGTGCGGGAGAGGCTTAATGTTTTATTCTTAAAGGAATAGTTTTATTAAATCTATAAATGTAAAAGGAAAGAAAGATGGCACCAGTGTACAGTCTGCTTTTTATCTTTTCTATTTTTTTGGTATTTTCTTTTTTAAGAATGGAAACTTCATGTTGGAGAAAAAAGGAAGGAAAAAAAAGGTAAACAAAGGAAAGAAAAAAGGGTGAAGAAAAAAGGAAAACAAAGGAA